CGAAACCAGAAAGGAGGAGAATTTCATTCAGCCTGTATTTGTAAGCCAACTGACTTAATTCAAACCTCCTGGATTGGAAAGTAATAATCTTCCAGATTTTGCACTTCTCCAAAGTTCTCAGCTCAGAAAATAAAACCAAATTTCATTTTAAAAGTATGTATTTCATATGACAAAAATATGTTTAGAAATGTGTACAGTGAGATAAAAATGAAATTTTAGTATTTTTAAAATATTAATATGGAAACAGGCAATAAACAGGCAATGAGCATATGCCAAATTATCAAGAACCAGAAATTAAGTGAGCTAATCTAAGTCTAAGCCATGAGTTTAAATGATTAAGATGGAATCCTGAACTCACTTAATAGGGAGAAAACTTCAGTGAACCGAACAAGAGTTACAGTGGTACCTCGGGTTACATACACTTCAGGTTACATACGCTTCAGGTTACAGACTTGCTAATCCAGAAATAATACCTCAGGTTAAGAACTTTGCTTCAGGATGAGAACAGAAATCGTGCTCCGGCGGTGCAGCGGCAGCAGGAGGCCCCATTAGCTAAAGTGGTACCTCAGGTTAAGAACAGTTTCATGTTAAGAACGGACCTCCAGAATGAATTAAGTACTTAACCCGAGGTACCACTGTACTTCTGATTAAGGATGCAGAGGAACATTTATTTATATCATTTGTATCCAAAACCTTTCAGGAAAAAAAGCTTTCTCTTTCTCCCCACTGTTCACATTATTTTCTTGAAGATTTTATTGACCATCCTCACAATGAATGGTCAATAAAGAAATCTTTGGCACAGCTCTAGCTAAAGTAGCAAGCACCAAATCAAGAACTTCCAAGTTCAGAAGCCATGCAGGAAGAAGAAATGTATATACAGAAAAGAGACCTTGGCATTGCAGTTCACACTGTTTCACATTATCTTGCTTAACTACATCTCTGCCCTCATCAATTTGTATGCATTAAATGTGAGGCTTCCCCATCAGAACCCTGCTGGGATATCATAATTTATCAGTCTCAAGACATTCCACACTGAGACTCCCATGTGCAAGTTACTGATAAGCTCAACAACATATTTGGACTTCTTGGAACTTAAAAAAAACCCAGTCTTCCTTGGAATGATCTTTTCTGTATAGCTCCACCGTTCCCATTGCTGTCCCTGCTTCTCTCCACAAGTTGCATTTTAGTCATATCTTCTCCTTCACATGCAAGTTTTCCAGGGGTAGCATGACCAGCTGCGGGGTTTAGAAGAGAAGGTGCAGACAGAGGCAAGGAATGAGCTGCATTTGATTATGCTCAGTTTTTGACACGAAGCAGTCTGAATCAAACTGAGCATACCTGGCAACCTTCTATTTTACAGCCTAGTCGATTAGGAATGTTTAGTTATTACCGTATTTTTTGCTCTATAAGACTCACTTTTTCCCTCCTAAAAAGTAAGGGGAAATGTGTGTGTGTCTTATGGAGCCAATGCAGGCTGCGCAGCTATCACAGAAGCCAGAACAGCAAGAGGGATTGCTGCTTTCACTGCATAGCGATCCCTCTTGCTGTTCTGGCTTCTGAGAATTTTTTCTTCTTCCTTGTTTTCCTCCTCCAAAAACTAGGTGCGTCTTGTGGTCTGGTGCGTCTTATAGAGCGAAAAATACGGTAATTATCCTCCCTCAGTGCAAAGGGGTTTGATGAGATGACTTTTGTGGTACTACAAGTTATGAGGAACTAAATGGTTTAAAGCACGAGGGTTTTGTTTATTTATTTATGAAGTCACCATCCTTTGGCACGAGAAAGAACTTGTTGCCCCTAGACAGATTGTCTAAGCTGGTGAAGGGCTCAGAGCTGCAAACATTGAGAATGTCTGTGCATACTGACCCACCTCCAGGATTCAATTTGGACCCAATCTGGCACTTTGGAATCACCCTGACTTGGGATGATTCAAGGCTGACCCAGTCCAGATCTAGGCCCCAAACTGATTTGGGGGCCTTGCACATTCTCTTTCTCCCCCTCCTCACCATCAGACTCTCCCCCCCCCCCGACAATCCAGATCACTATGACCAGGTCTGATCTGACTTGTGGCAATCCAAGACTGCCCCATCCTGTTGAACACCAAGAAGTGTTCAACAGGAAAATGGACTCCATCAGAAAGTGGTGGACTCTCCTTTGGAGGTTTCTAAGCAGAGGTTGGATCGCCACCTGCCATCGATGCTTTAGTTGAGATTCCTGCATTGCAGGGAATTGGACTAGATGACCCTCAGGGTTCCTTCTAACCCCAAAATTATATTCCTTCCCTGCAGTTATATCAGTCTGCAATCTATAGTATATAAGTCTGACAACATTTTCCCTGAAGACACAGCTAATGAGCACAAAGGCAGTCACTGTGACATTCAAGTGTTATACCACAGTTTCACAACAGTTGACAAATGGGTCTGCAAAAGTGAAATAGTCAAAGGGGGTGGAAAGGAGGGAGTGTGTATGTTAAAATGGGCATTGCATTTGCAAAACACATCAGAGTTGCATAGGCAGATTTAGACAAAACTTTATATATTTTTCTAAAGTATTTTCTCTACCAAACCACCATAGCACAGTATAGATGCCTTAAGTTTTCATGCAACACTGTGTGCTTGATGCTTAATGAAAAGAAAAGCAGAGAAGGAAAGAAAGAAGCACAAATACCTCTTTTCCTCCTCCTTTAGTCCTGCTCGTGAACCGGAAAACATGTTCTAAGGTTTCACATAAGCTAGATATGGGCATACCGAATATCTATGAATAGATATGTCAGTACTTTGACACACATCCTGCCAGGGAGGACCCATGCAGTTTGCACCAGTTACATAGTAGGAAGAAGAGATGATCTCCACCCCTTACTACCTTGGTTTCTCTCTCCCTTCTGTGTATCCCTCTCTGTTGGTGATAGACTGTAAGTTCCTCGGGGCAGAGTCTTGTTTGTGAAACTTTACATGCAGCTCTGAACAGTTCCATATGAACTGACTGTGCAGCAGCAGCAGCAGCAGCAATAATACATTAAATGATGATTATGTTTTAATTATTACAGACATTCATAATTCAATTCTTAATGGCAGTAATGTTATTAAACTGGTTTCAACTGAATCATTCCCATACTGGTAATATGATCTCCAGGTTAGAATCTGCTTCAGTGCCTCTTTTGGAAATCTACAGTAAGTACTTTTTTGCTCTCAAAAGCTCACTCAGGACTGACAAAACTCCATAGCAGAAACTGGTGTGCTTCTGTCTCCCTAACCGCCCACCCAAATCTTCCTGGACTAACTTTCTTCCTGGTATAACTTTTCACCAAAGTGTAAGGAATTTGAGAAACAGGAAATACACCCCGCTTTCCTCTCCCCTTCATTTTTCTAACGTTCAGTTGCCTCACGCCTGTTTTGCTACAGTTAGTGAAAACAAAAATGCATTGTGGCTAAATATAGTCTGACAGTTTGGGGCTTGGCTCTCATGTTACATAGACAGTTCCATTTCTGTATATTGAGTGAGGCAGTAATGTCCCAGGAAAGAGAAAGAGGGGAGTGGGGGAAGGATATTAAACAGCTAAAAACTTCTTTACTTTTTTTTATGAAATACGATTAATTCCTACTTGAAACAACACTTTCTTGGTAAGTGAACAGTAACGATTCAGAAGTTTAAATCTGGATTTTATCTTCTACAAGGACTGTTATGTTTGGATTCCTGCCTCGACTTCTCCACATTCTCTCTCTCTGCCGATTTCCCACATCCACACTCACAAATGCAGGAAGGAAGGGAGTAACATTTCAAGGACACACTTTAGAAAGTCAATCTCTTTGGATTCTGTAGATACAGATGTATCCAACTATATATAATAAAAACTTTGCAATAAACTTAAGCTAGGAGTTGTACAGTTTGCCACTATAGTACGGGGGGGGGGGAGAGAAATATCGAGTACTCACGCGGAGCAGATGTTGTACTGTTTTGAGAAGCCATCCTTTACGCATTCAAAACTGCCCCCCTCTCTCTCCGCCTGTCTTTTTTAAAAATTATTTTTTTTTCTACTGACAGTCAGTCGGGCTTCCCTATCCGCAGTCCAAAGGCAGATGAAGCTGCAACAGCTGGCCGGACTGGGAGAAACCAGGAGAGAAAGCAGCTCTTGTTCCGGAGCTTCTTGTCTGGTTCTTGACCATTTACCACTGGAAAAGGAAACAGCACATGTGTCATTCAGTTTGGCCTCTCCAGCTCACACGAGGAGGAGGAGGGGAGGGGCACCAGTTTGCAGATAAGCACTAACTTTTTTTTCCCCTTTAGCCCTCCTATCCCTCAGCTAACCAGGACCTTTCCACCTCCAGCAAGCAACAAGTTGAGACAAAGGCATCTTACTTTCAAATCGAGAGCCCAATGCATCTCATGCCAGCAATGTATAACGTAATATAAGGTAAAAAAAAGAGTGGGTTTTCAAGGGAGGAGGGTGGGAAATGGTTACGCTGCCAAAATTGTGCAGGGGAGTATTTAACAATAGGACTTTCATTTTCTCTCTTTGCTGTGGCAGCTTTTCTGACTCTCTGCACAGAGAACTCCCTGCCCCCACCCCCGGTCCCCTATGTTCAGCTTTGAGATATATGGTTGTGTCTGTTTGTTTCTGAGAGCTGAAGGCAAAGGAAACATAGCGTCAGCGAGCAAAAAGCAGCGGGAATGAAGCTGTGTGCTTGGTCCACTTTGGCCTTTGGCTAAACAGGTTTTGCAGGTTTGGGGGAAGTGTATCCCAAAATGATGAAACTAATTTATCCAGGGGATAAAAGTGGGAGGAAAGAAATTGGTGGCATACACCAGTGTGATAAGAAACAGGAGCTATAAATTGCAAGGTCCCCAGTCCTAACCTCTCCTCTGCCATGAGATCATGATGTAACTTTGGGTCTTCTCGAGCACAACTTCTCAGACTCAGCTTCCTCCTTGCCCTCTGTGTTATGTTAATGATAGTACTTGCCTATCTTGCAGGGCCGATGTAAGTCAGGGGCTGTCAACATGGTGCCTGCAGGCTCAGTCGGTAGAGCATGAGGCGCTCAGTCTCAGGCTTGTGGGTTGAAGCCCCACATTGGGCATTGCAGGGGGTTGGACTGGGTGACCCTCAAGGTCCCTTCCAACTCTACAATTTTTGATACTTTGATTCTATATTTGTTTTGTTTTGTTTAAAAGCATTTCTAAATTGCCTAATATTTTAAATATCTCTAAGTGATATACAATATAAAAACAAACAATAACATTAAACAAAAATGCCTCATAAAACCAACAAAGCAGTAGCATAAAAGCATATAAAAACCAGAATTCAGAGAATTCAAATACATAAAACAGGGTCTGGTATTATGGGTAAGGGAAAGTATGGGCAGAAAGATAAGCCTTTATAAAGACATCTGAAGCAACTGGTGGTTGCTGTTTCATGTATGACAAAGTTGAAAGGCATTCCATAGTACAGGAGCTATAGCAGGAAAATGCCCATTTTGGAATTACTAACCTATCGTATTCTGTAGGGTGTTGTACCACAAGTGGAATTTCCCCAGATAATCTAAGTGATCTTGCATATCTATACAAGGACAGGCCATTTTTCAGGTGACCTGGGCTTCAGTGGTTCAGGGCTTTAGGGTTCAAGACCTTGAACATGGCCTAGCAGCTGATCAGTGGCTTCACTCCCCATCTAGCTTATCCTCATAACAATGTGGTATATGCTAGTTTGAGCTAGCTCAGTCACCCAGAAACTAAATGAAGATTTGAACCCAGTATCACAGTGTGCTGCAGATCCAGGACCCTGCTGACAAGTAACACCTGATATCGATGCTTCCGTACATTTACAGTATCACATAGCCCAGGGGAATGTTGCTCGAATGGCACTGTTTTCTTGATCTTCTGTCTGGTTACAAAGTGCTTTCACAACTACCCGGGAAACAAGCCAGACAGTGCAGCAACACGGTGATTGTGTCATGATCACCCTGGCAGGGGAGCTAATGCAGAGCCCAACACAATTTGAGTCCAGAAGGCATAGTTTCTTCTTGCATTTTGATGAGAATCATTTTGGTGCCAGGTATTTCCATAGCACACTGTGACTTCTCTGCAAGGAAAGAGGATAAGCTGATGTGCATTCTGTTAAGTTGGAGATTAATATACAATGGTACCTTGGTTCTCAAATGTAATCCATTCTGGAAGTCCATTCGAGTTCTGAAATGTTTGAAAACCAAGGCCCAGCTTCCGATTGGTGTAGGCACCCTGGAAACAATAGCTGAAAGCCGCATTGGATGTTTGGCTTCCAAAAAACGTTCAAAAACCAGAACACTTACTTCTGGGTTTTCAGCATTCAGGAGCCAAAATGTTTGAGGATCAAGACGTTCAAGAACCAAGGTTCCACTGTATTAGCACCCTGATTCTCTAAGGTAGTGGTTTTCAACCAGTGTGCCATGGCACCCTCGGGTGCCTTGAATGAGGGTCAGGGGTGTTGCGGGCAACACTGACCACTGTCTCTCTTTCCTTCTCTACCTCCTCTGATGCGCTGTCATGTCTCTGCCTCCCAAAGGCTTGAATGACTGTTTGTTGCAGGAGTCCTGTCTACAAGCTCCACAGGCGAATGGTGCCTCTGTGGCTGACCAGGGCGTGTTGGTTGCTAGGAACTGAGGTGGCCTCAGAGTAAGCAAGCAAGTGGGTGAGGGAGCCCAGCCAGCCAGTCCACCAGCCCTTGCTGTTGGGAATGGACAGACAAGTCCCAGGCCCCTGCGGGGCAGTGTGAGGAAACACTTCTCTTTGTGGCGGGGGGGGTGGGGCATTCAGCTCAGAGACCAGGGGCGGCAGCAGCAGCTTCCCAGAGGACTCCTAAGGAGAGGGGAGAGGAGAGGAGGCTGAGGGAAGACTCCACAAGGGTTTGAAAAAGTGTGAGGCAAGTGGTGACATAACTGGGCTCCTGAGCCCCACAGGGGTGCCGCAGATAGAATGCAGTTGGTCAAGGGAGCTGTGGACTAAAGAAGGTTGAAAACCTCTGTTCTAAGGGGTTCAGAAAACCATTTTAGCCTCACAACTGCCTTCCTGTTTAGGTTAAATTGATAAGCAGACATTGCACATGGCCGCACAATGAATGTCATTGTTAAGCAAGGATTTCAGCCTGTTTCCCACATCCAACATCATCATCATCATCATCAACAACGACAATATCTGTATCCTGTCCATCTTACTGGTTTACCCCAGTCACTCTGGGTGGCTTCTAACATATATAAAAACATAATAAAACATTAAACATTAAAAAGCACACAGAGATGGCGGAGCTGTTGCCCTTCATCTCATCAGCCCCAGTCAGCATGGCCAATGGTGAGGGATGATGGGAGTTGTAGTCCTGCAGCCCTCCAGCTTGTTATCCCTGTTTTGGCCTCTCACCCGCATCAGAAGCAGTTTTAGAATAGTATGACTGGAGTGGCTAAACTGAGTGCTATGCTGTTGGGGACACAGGCACAATGTTGTAGAATGGAGTGTGAGAGGCAAGGGAGCGCTGAATTTTAGTGCCACACAGAGCACCACTGAAATTTGAGAGCCCAAAGTCCACCCCTGACCACATTACCTTACTGTTTGTATAGCAAATAGGCTGCAGAACAGGAGTGGTTCAACATTTTTTTTGGGGGGGGAACCCCCAATGATCTGTCTGGATAGACTTGCCTGAACAAAATGTTTCAGCATGCATTGGAAGCAGAACAACAAAGTAGCCTGCCTAATATGAATATGAATAATATGTGTAAAAGAGTCAAACCCCATGTGGTACTATATTTCTGCAGCATAATTTTTTATATATATTAATACATCATTATTTTTACAGTTATACACAAACTGGGAGTGCGTATGTGTATAATAGGCAAACAATAATGTGCATATTAATGCATATAATATGTGGAATTGACAATATTTTTTAGCAGAACTGGCTAAAATATAATAATATCCTTGCCTCTGAGATCAAGGAGCGAGGTGGGAATTAGAAAAATAATAATCCATGCGGATTAGCTTGACGTGTAGAGTTTCAGAAAAATCCCATCCCTAGCATTGTGCCATTACTGCCGTGATTGCCCTGTTTTTACTACTATTATTATCATATTATTTTATGTTGGAAACTTCTTTGGGACCACATGGGCGATCAATGGTTGGTAAATGTTACAAATACAAATGATGTTACAAATAATGTCAGAAGCACTGCAAGGGAGCATATGGGGTGTTAGGGTAGGGGTACTTCCTCTCGTGAGGGACACATCACGTTACTTCTGGGATAGTGCACATTGTGCATTCATCTCTCACCTATGGCTTCTAGAAGCTGTCAGCATGCAACAGAGGCCCCACCCTGGGAATGGCTTCAAATGTTCCGGTGAGTTCCGGCTGAAAAAAAGAAGAAAAAGCCCTGACTAAAACTGGCATTTTGTTGAGTACAATCTATCAGCCCCCAGGATACATCAGATATGGGAACTGTTTGGTTTATCTTTGCAGGCTTTTAACGTATGTCACAGGATGATGTAGGAGAAAAAGCCATGAACATGAATGGTGTGTGACACCAAAGAGAAAAGTGGATTAACAGAAGACTGACTATGGAGAATGCAGGCTGGGAATTTCAAAGTGTGATTTCTGGCCCTGCAGCTTACCAAACATCTGCATGTTCAGAACTTGATATTCAGCTGGATTTTTAACCTTATTGGAGGCTTAGAGCCTCCTATCACTTGCCCCATATTACCGTGGGTTCATCAAGGGCTGTCCTTGTTCCCCAAGGGAAATATCCATATTAGACCATTCCCAGTCCCACTTGAACTGGGCTAAATGTAGAGCATGGGATACACACTGAGAACAAACAACAGCCTAATTCTCTTTCTTTCCTTCTGACCTCAAATGCAACTTCCCTCAGGGAAGCTGAGAAATAAGACAATGAGGAAACAAGAACGGGACTGCTGTGCCATTAAATTATTAAATTCCTCCTTGTCTGAACTTTCCTCTTACGCGTATATGCTGCAGGCAGTAAAAGCTGTGAAAATGAGGCAGCTAAAAAGGAGTGTAAAAGCAGCTTTTTGCTGAAAGGGAGTCGGATGGGCAGGATGAGGAAATTTCCCATGAAGCAGTCTGGACTGTCCTGGAACAGGGACCTAGGTGGATTGCTCTTAGAAAGGAGGAAGATTGCCTACTGCAGGAGATGAACCCATGGAGGAATGTGACACGCAGAAGCAGTGGCGGTAGCTTGCCACCACAACCATGGGTACCCAGGGCCACACACACCGTGGGAATGTGCACGACGAGGTCAGCACGCCCAATGCCACACACTTCCGACATCCACGTGCAAGTGACTTCAGCACGCCTCGCACACACTGCCGAGCATGCTGATGCCAGACGTGTGTAGCACAATGTTTGGGCTGGGTGTGAAGGGGGTCAGGGTAGAGAGGGGACAGAATGTCCTCCAAGAGGAAAAGCCTGATTTAGAAACAGGCTTGTGTGTTTAAAAAGCCTGCTAATTATGTGCCAGGAGAATCTAAAGGCGAATACTGTTTTAGGAGTAGTAACAATGGAACTGGATTCCTCATCCACAGTGTGAGCCCAGCTTTCCAACTAGAGATGGACAAATGTGTCAGTTTTGGTTTCTTTCAGTTTCTCATTTTGCTCCTCAATCTTCAAGTCAGTTCTCCACATTTGCGCATATATATACGCATATATATATATATATATATATATATATATATATATATATATCCTGCTGAAAATTTGTCAACTGTTTAGTGAGAATTTCTCCCAATGAACACATTTCCCTGCAATTTTGACTAATGGAAATGGACACATTATTGTCAACATTTTTCCATAATATAGTGCATTTCACATGTTATTTTCACACACACACACACACACACACACACACACTCTGCGAGCTTTACTCTAGCACATGCATTGGTTAGAGAATTGCATTGCAAAATTCAGAGAAGTGTGAATTTCAAAGGATGGTTGTGCTTTCATTTACTTACTGGTTCAAAAAGTGCAAATTAGGTAGTCTCTCATTAAAATGCAAACAAAACTGATTTCCTTCCCCATTTCCAGCACCAGTAACATGTGTACAAAC